CACTGGCGCTAGCAGCAGCATGCAAGCGCTCGCTCCAGCAGCGCTGCCGCCTGCTCTACCAAGTGCCCGAATGACATCTGTCTGGCGAGCTCTTTCCTATATGGAAAGTGCTCGCCCAGTTTGCAGCTGGGTTTCGACGCGTGTGTCCCCTCTAGCTCCACGTTGGGCCAAAGTGTCTGCACCGAGGCCCGTTCAGACAGTGGCCTGGGACCAAATTGGTTAGGCATGCCCAACCACCCAGACACGAAATTCAATGTGCGGTGTTCCCTGCTTCGACCACGTTGCTGGAAGAGCCTGGAAGGCTGGAAGGCTCACAAATATTTCTGATTCTCACGAGCAAAAGTGGCAACTGTCTGGTGCCCACCAAGATTAACAAAATTGACAAGTTCAGGGCACATTGAGATTCAGGGCCCCCCCCTTCACTTATGGCGGGCATGCGCCTGCTGCAGCTTTTGCCGAGGGGTAAACCCTCGCACTATTGTTGAAGCGGCCCCGCCAGCCTTTTCATTTGGGGAGGGAAAGACCTGAAAACCACAGAGCATTAAACCACCAATACATAGCCCCAGTCACGCTGAGAGTTGGATTGAACCTCTCCTAAAATTTTGGAGATCCGGGACAGGGTGTCTAAAGGGCCAATAGAATTTTTTTTTTTCAGGATCTAGATTTGTCAATGTTCCCGTTCGGCAATATATGGTCAAACAGAACTGCCCGGTAAACCGTCGGCAGAGAGGGCGAAGAGGATGAGAAACGAGGGGCTGTGACAAACTGTTTCGTCGGAGTTTCGCCGTGAATGACTCCTCAGGAGATATGCTGAATTGCGTCCTGTCGTTGATGAGTTGATGGAGGATGAAGTATTTAGGCATATTGGATTGCGAAAAGACACCCGTATAACACCAGGCAGAAGCAGGAATAGCAGAACATCTATCCATATTCAAGCCTTACAGTACACAGTCAAAATGGGTTACAACTTGCTTCTTCTTAAACCGCCAGTACACGGGCCAGCCTTGCAGAAAGTCTTCTTGTCGCCAAAAGCAAAACCTGTAGGGGCCGCGCGCCCACCTTTGGGACTTCCTTTTCCCCGCAGACCCCGCCCCCTTCCCCGTGCACCCCATCCATTTTTTTATTTTTTTTTTCATAAACAGAAAAGGTTGACAGGCAGAGTACGAAAATGATCATCGTCAGGAAAGAGATGGCCGCGCACCCCATCCAACTCCCCCTCTGGAGTAACATACCTACCCACTTCCGTAAGACCGAGAGGATCTGGATTGATTGATCAAAAAGGAGACGATTTGGTCTTTATGGAAGGAAAGGTGTTGCAGAATTCTTGAAGGCCTCTCCTCCTCAAGAGAAGCGTCGGGGAGGCGACAAGGTTAATGATTCAGGCTGGGATTCTGTGCAAGTGGCAGAAAACAAAGCATTCCATGTCGGGCGATTTGGACGTGCAGCAGAAAATCCAAGCGGAATTCACAGGATATGGCCGGTACTAGTAGGAGGCAAGGCAGCAGACGTAAGGAATAGAGCTGTAATGACCGGGCATCCTATTTGAGTAACGACGAGATGGTTACTCTCAGTTTTCTGACCGCATCTGGACTGGAAGGTGCACCGAATACAGCTGTAATGACCGGGCATCCTATTCGAGTAACAACGAGATGGTTACTCTCAGTTTCCTGAGTAAAGAAAGTGAACCTACCTCTCTCGTCTCTACCCCCTTCACCTGAACAAAACCGCCTGATAATTATAACCGCACCACACCGGAAGGTGTGCACCAAATACAGGTATAATGACCGGCCTTCTGGTTGGGTAATGACCGTAGCTTCAAGGCCTCTAGTTATGTTCCTTTTCCCAAAACAACGTGGTGAGCTTTGTCCGGGATTTGCTGTGGGCCAAGCAGGCTATGGTCCCTTGCTTTCTACGCACCCCTTCCTCTGGGATTTTCTTATTCGATTGTTCTATGATTTATGGATTTACAGGAGTGACCAATTTTGAAGAATTAGCCAGAATTCTGACTAATTTATATATCTTGTTTGTCATTAAATTACTCAATTAGTCAACTACTCTCGTATCGTTACGCACCCCCCACCCCCGACCCCCCGACCCCCTCTTCAATAGAACCACCAATGACTGGGGAATGCTCTGTACAATGCTGTGAGATTGTCGGGTACGAAATGAGATTAAACCATGACCATTACCTCTGCCCCTCTTTTCGCCATGCGAGTGGGACCTTTTTTCATTCATTTTGGGGGGCGCCAGTAGCCATTCTGGTCCGGTGGTGCCCCGCCTCACGAAAAACATCGGTACTAAGTTATATTCACAACTTCGCCTTCCAGTGTGAACGGTAGTGGTGGTTTGCGGTGTTAGATTATATTCACGACTTCGCCTTCCACTCTGAAAGGTAGTGGCAGTTTAGTCTCTGGGCATCGTTAGACACTCCTATTGTTGAAATCCTCAGGCAATAGGAAAAGATTCCTAATGGCTCAAAAAAAATGTGGGCCCTTCGTTCCACCTGTCCTCGGGGACGTCGCCCGAGGAGATTTCCTGATACCGATGTCAAAAAAAAAAAAAAAAAAAAAAAGCAGCAGCAGCAGCTGTGCTTCAGGCCTTCAGCTAATAGGGTGCTGCCACGATCCAGATGCTTGGCTGTAACGTCTATCTACCCCTGTACCCTCTCGTCGTCGTGAAACGTGGATTCCTTGTGCCCAAGGGGGACCTTGCGAGGTCCCGTGGGGCACCAAGGAAGAAATGGCTGGGGAATTCCTATTGCCGAGGAATTTCCTTACGCGCATTTTCACTTTTTTTTTTTTCCGGATTGCATCCCCGAGAAGTGTCTAACGACGCCCTCTCTCGTAGCTCTTCTTCGGTCGTCCAGTTCTTTATTTTTATTCCATGAATGTTTTTTTTTTTTTTTTTTTTTTTTTTTGAATAAACTCCCTTCCAGTGAATGTTGTAACAAATGTCCACGGACAAGAAATTTCGTAACGGAGATTCAAAATCTGAGAGAGAGTGCACAAAGCAAAAAATTGCAAATGAGCACAAATGCATGCATGAACAATTTCTTGTTTCTCTCCTGTAGAACTCCACAAGCAAACCATAGTCGTCTTTTACCTTTAAACACAGACAGGAAAATGCATATCCATTGGACGCAAACCAAGACCTGATAGAGACTGCACGCAGTGTGTGCAATCAACTAATCTTCCCTCCAAACTATCCATGCAAGATGTTTGCACACATGATCGGCGCCATGCTTAACGCCAGACCACAGAAATAAGGGGAGCATGTGTGTGTGTGTGTGCGTGTGTTATCATATTCGCTATACACTAAAAAAAAGAGCATGACTGTTTCGTTCGACTTCCACCAACTCGTGTGTGTGTGTGTGTTTGTGTGCGTGGTGTGTGTGTGTGTGTGTGTGTGTGTGTGTGTGTGTGTGTGTGTGTGTGTGTGTG